GTTGTTCAGCCTGGAGAAAAGGAGGCTCAGGGGAGACCTTATTGCTCCCTACAACTACCTGAAAGGAGGTTGTAGCGAGGTGGGTGTTCGTCTCTTCTCCCAAGTAACAAACAATAGGATGAGAAGAAATGGCCTCAAGTCGCGCCAGGGGAAGTTTAGATTGGCTATTAGGAAAAATTTCTTCACCGAAAGGGTTGTCAAGCATTGGACCAGGCTGCCCAGGGAAGTGGTTGAGTCACCATGCCTGGAGATAATTAAAAGACGTGTAGATGTGGTGCTTAGGGACATGGTTTAGTGGTGGACTTGGTAGTGTTAGGTTAACGGTTGGACTTGATGATCTTAAAGGTCTTTTCCAACCTAAATGATTCTATGATTCTGTGATTCCACTGGATAAAACGCTGGGCTGGAGAGAAACTGCAGACTGTCACTTATATGTCAGGGCTCAAATGTGGCATTAAACCCATCTGAAATTGCTGCAGGAGGGATTTCCTAGAGGACCAGCAGTTCTCAAATTCTTTGAACCCTGACAGTCAAAATTTCTCATGGCCAGTGAGGCATCAACAGCAGGGAAGCTTGATGAAAGGTATGTCATCTCTTGAGACACACCTTCAACTCAAGTAATAACTGGCCAAGACTGGCTTCAGTGCCGTGTTGGAGTGAGGGTGAGGGGGCAGTAGAACAGACTCCCACCATGCATGAGCTGGTGGGACAGAGTTTAGAAATGTTCACCTTAACTATGCTATCTCTGAACTAGAAGCAAACATGACGTTTTTAGGGTCACAAAGGACCCTCTCAACACTGATTTGAAGACCTCCATTTCACTTGCAAACAAGGAAGCTGCTCACATGCACTGGCCATCTGGGACAGACCAGGAATAAATGCTGACTGTGGAGGCACAGCCTGGTCTGAAAGCAACCAGTAACAGCAGTTTCTGAAGGAGTTAATGTCAGAGTTTTCCACCATCATCCTGCACTTCCATCCAGATAGGGCAAAACCAAGGTAAAGCATTAATCAGATGTCTAGGGGACTCCAGAGAGGACAGAGGTGGAAGGCTGAGAGCTGAGGCATATTATATTTCAGAATCAAACCCATCCCAGATTGCTGGCTTCTAACAGTTTGCTCTTTATTCCTGAAGGAGAAAGCTATTCAAAACATGAGTGGAAGTAAAGAGGGGTATTCTTGGGTTGAAAGAACAAGGAAGGTGCTATAAGATTAAGAGAAAAAAAAAAAAGCTTTCAGCCAAGCTTAAATACCAAAACGACAGCAGCCGCCGGTCCCACGAAGGCATAGAGAAGACCTCCCTCTAACGACAGCCAGCAGCTGGAAAATGAAGAGAGAAAAGAAAGTTACCCAGTGGCTAGCATCACCTACAGGCGCATGTTTACTTCTCCTCTTTGCCTGCAGAGTTCATCTTGGGAGGTGATACCCCATGGCAAGAAAGTCTCAGACTTTACAGCAAGTTTTGCTTCCCATTTCTTCTGAACTTACATAAAGGGTCATTTGCCTGTGGGTCTGCCTGCAGAATGGTATTTGATTGTCAACAGAGGAATGCATGCAAAATTAATGATAGTGCTCTGTTTCAGACCAGGTCCTGGAAGCAGCTGCATCAGTTTGCTGGCAAGATGATGGTCTTGTCCAACTCACTCAGGCAAAAGAGTAGAAACAGTAGAAATTGTCCCTCGCTCATTTGTTGACCACTATGCCTGCCAGGGGCTCAGGTCCAGGCGTGCAGTACATTCCTTCTCCTGGATCCTCCCTTTGAGCTTGCTGCCTTTGGGAAATTTTGCAACAGAGCAGCGAGATGGGAATTCACAGCACTCCTTAAGCGGATGCTCCTAAGGAATGAGCTGAACGTGAGGTGTGTGGTGTCTCTTCTGGAAACCAGCTTGTTCCTTCTCCCTCACACCATGTAACCTGAGAACGACTTCTCCTTTCTCCACTGACCACGTGTAGAATTTAGGTTCCTAAACTGCCTGGTGCCTACACAACTGAGGCACAAACTCTTCTGACTAAGTGCTGATGTCTGCCCTTTTGGTGCTTACCACAGAGCCAGTCACTCTTGATGACATTTCTAGTCAGCAGAGATCCAACCAAAAGAGTCCAGGATGAGGCATCTACTTTCAATCAATCAGATGAATCACATCCTGAACTCCATTGACTGCCTTGACTGGATCTTCACCATCCAAGTAAGCAGTGCACCTAACCCAGATGGAGACATCACTGGGGAGGTGAATCCCATCTCTCATGTAAACAGTATGAATATGCTCCAGGTGGCCCTTCAGAGCTCCTACCGCACCGTACATTCACATGCAGATCTCACTGCACACTGACATCCCCGTACTGACAAACTTGGTGTAAAAAAAACAAGCAAAGAGAGGTAGGGGAAGTCTCATCCCACTTCCATCCTCAGAGCTGAGCATCACAGGGTGTCTGGATAGTCAACAGGGATTTTCGGGTTTGACCGTAAAGTCAGGAAGGAAACACTTTTTCACTGTGAGAGTGACCGAGCACTGGCAAAGGATGAGCAGAAGGGTTGTGGAGTCTCCATCCTTGGAGACATTCAAAAGCAGTCTGGGCATGGTCCTGGGCAGACAACTCTAGGTGACCCTGCTTGACCAGTGGGGTAGTTGGACCAGATGGCCTCCAGAGATCCCTGCCCACTTTAACCAGTCTGTGACTCTGCAACAGTCATGAACAGTTACAGCAGCACTGGAGCTGAAATTTCCATTTTGTGGGGAATCCAGCAACTCAGAGCATGGATACATAAAGTAGGTACTTCAGGGCAAGAGAGGATGCAAATTTACACTGTGTCAGCAACCCCACGGAAAGTTTGCATGCTTTGATATCACAGTACCCTGGAGAAAATGTGCGATGAAGTAATCCTGTTTCAGCAGTAAACTACCGTGCCTTTACCACAGGATAAGAGCAGGCAACCACAATGGAGTGATGACTTTCTCAAAGCTCTTAACCCAGCTAACCCTGCAGTTATTCAGTTACGTGCCTGTACTGTCAGCAATATGGTTTCATTCTGCATCAGAAGCAAACTGATGCTGCCTTTCAGAGTCTCCCAGGAAACAAAGCCTTCCTGGAAACATTTCAATCTTGTTGATCAGCCTCATATGCTTTTGTATCAATTCTGACTTGCAAAAAATGTTATTTTTTTGCCCCAAAACACAGAACATTTGGGAAAAGAAAAAAAAAAAAGTATTTCAAATTGAAAATTGAAAGCAGGACATTCTGTTTTTCTCTGAGGCCTGCATCTTGTTTATTTCTAAATTAAACCTGTAATGTGTTAATTTAATCAATTCTGATTTCTTCCTGATAGCAAGTTGCTCTGTTGCAAACTGTCTGAGCAGCTGTAATAATAAAACGAATAATCAGCTGGGGAGGGAGGGAATAGGAATGAAGCTTTGGAGGGCTGCAGTAACTGGAGGTCTCCCTAAATGCAAGGAGAGGGCAGGGGGAACCAGGAGGGCTCCCAAATCCCAGTCCTTGCCCAGACCTTTTTCTCCAATGCTCCATCCTAATTTTGAGACCGTTTTTCCCAGGGTCTCTTCCAACCGACAGCTCATCCGAAGAAAGGAGCTGACAGTCCTGCACTCCAATTAGCAATGAGGACTTGGCGCAACGAGAGTTCTCGTTCATGTCAGCTCCCTGGCAGCCCCTCTTCCCCTCTGAGCACCAGGCTTTCTGAAGGCGAGTTCACACATCACCAAGCACTGGTCCTTATCCCTTCTGACTGCCTGACCTCCCTGCCACAGCGCTTAACCGAAGCATTTCCAAAGCTGTGAGAGGTGGTGGCTGACAGCAAGGGAAGGGAAAGGGTGAAGTGGTATCTGAGAAGGGGCACCAACACCAAATTCCAGCAATATATTCATCTAGTGGAGATGCTTTTAGCCTTGTGCCTACAAGGCACAGAAATATTTGAATTTCGCTAAGAGGTTCCCCAGTACTTGCCAAGAGATCTCTTCACAGATCTCTTAAATAAAATTACCACTGGAAGGGAGTAAGTGAATGGTTTAACAATGCTCAGCTGCTCCAGACCACTATTTCTAAGCAGTGCTTCCCCAACTGACAGCAGCTCTTGTGTTCAACCCGAAAGACCTCTTTACAAAACATCTGATCCTTTTGTGAATCTGCCACAGCAAAGACGTGAGATGGATGGCTTTTGTCTTGATCCTGCGAAGAGCTGACTTCCACCGAGACCTCCTTGACTACACTGTACAACTCCGCCAGCTACAGGTCTCACCTCGATCTTGTGCAAAATTAAGCAGCCCCAATGCAACAGCCAACATATTTGTATAACTAAGACTACAGCTGGGAATCAGGGCTGTCCCACCAGTGTTAATTTAGAGATTAATAGAGAAGCTGCTGAGATACCTGTGGGTGACAGAAGCCCTGATGCAATGACGCACAAGGACCCCTGGAAATTTGCTGTGTCCTGCCACTGCTCTCAGAAAACTTTTTGTGGGCTCTCTTGTGGGGAAGGATATGAGTTCCCAGCTACCAGCAGCACAACCTCAATTACTCAGTTCAAGCTTTAGGAGGCAGTTTGTCAAGCTTTAGAGGTCCAGAGTCAGTCCCTGGAGTACCGGCTAGAAGGAGAGTTATTATTCAGGCATTCAGCCTAATACAAGGAGGTGAGCAGTGGCAGGTCCTCTAGACCTCCATTATCTCTAAGACTTTCTTTGAGACTGGAATTACAGCCTGTACCCTACCCCAGCAGCTCTCCAAATAACTGCAAAATCTCCCTTCAGATGCTGTTCAGATAAGAAAAAGGAAAAAACCCCTTGTGTCCTCCTCCCCTCCTTGTAGATGGAGAGTTCATAGCATTCCAGAAGAAGTGTCCTGAGCAATAAAGGCCTCTGAGTGAATGGCTGCTGGGGAATTGCCACTCAGAAAACAACAGAGGCACAGTCCAAATCCTGCAATACATATTTTTAATTTGAACCTCTCTCCCCCTTCTCATCTTACCACTCAGTGGCCCAGTCTGGAGAGCTAAAGGGTAAATATTAAATATTATCTACAACCTTCCCACACTTAGCACTGCCTCTGATCTCTCTGCGTTACAGCTTAGAGACACGACCAACCCTTCGACTGCTACCACGTCTTGATGGGACAGGCCTCCATACTGCTGCTCAGTTGTGGTTTTTATTGTTACAAAATAGCTTCATCCCATGTACAAAAAAAAGACAGGACAAAGCTGGGTGAAATCTTGCTTAGGGCCCAGGTAGACCACCCTGTTGGAGGTTCCTCCCTTAACTTGCTCCACTGCAGTTGGCCACCTTGGCGTACCCCGCAGATTAACAGTTTCAGTCATCGTGACACAGAGACACGTTATGCATTTCACACACTGTCCCTTCCACCACCTTTGCTGTGGGAGTCTGTAACACCAAGATTAGTGCTGCAATGCCTTCAACAGTTGCACCTGTCCCCAGAATTCAGAGCCCTGCTTTGTCTAAATGCCCATCTCCACAAGAAAACCAATGGGTGCTAATGCACGGCTCTTAGGATCCAGAAATTGCAGTGTTGGAAGAAGCTTTGAAAGACACTGTGAAGTCCCTTGTGGTTTATCATGTCAGCTCTTGTCCCCTGCTTCACAGGGAGGGACGTGATGTGGCTAATGTCTTTTCTTCCTTCTGCGAGATGGAAACATTGTGCCTTGAAAGTCTGCCGCTGCCCATTTGAAAGGCCCTGTGCGTGCCTTATACTAACTAGAGACAAAGCTAAAATAGCTCCTGAACTCTAGCTCCAAGCTTTGCAACTACTTCACACATTTCTGCAATGGCCAGAAACCAACAAACATCCTGGGACAAGCTTCGATCCAAGTCTGTATTCTGTTTATATGCCTTTAGAATTAGGCAGTGTTAAATCCAGGTCTGAACAACCTCAAGTTTTGGAATTCAGCTCTGAATTTATTGCTATGTAATGTTGACTTTGCTCTAGAGGAGAGGTAAAACCAAGGGCCTCCCACACATAAATGTAAGAGAGCTTTTATGCCTTTTGAGTAGGAAAACAGGGATGAGTGTGAATGCACTGCAGTCTGTCAGGGCACCCTGCCTAGCTTGCTCCCCATGAATATTTGTTTCATGTTTTAAAATGCACCAATGTGCAAATGTAACTCTCGTTACAGCGATGCTCAGCACCATCTTACGCTCGGCTTCACGGCTTATGAACCCACCATGGCATCCTCCTGGCACAGCAGTGTGCTCCTCGCTGCATGGAGGCAGGGCAGGGACTGCTTATCCAGCGCCCACAGGGACACCCAAGCTGCTTGGGGCAGAGATGCTGGCTTAAGTGCATGACTGCAAGTT